CACTCTTGACTACTTTCTTGTAAGTAGGTCTTTGGCATAAACGCTAAATGGGGAAAGAGGCAAGTTTCACAAGCAAACAGGAGGTGTTACAACAAAATACATATATTAGAAGTCAAATACACTCCCCAAATGGAACAGCCGTAAAGCCGTAAACCCAACCACAGCACTGTTTCATCTGCTCTCACATAGTCTCCCTGGTGGCAAAGTCCTGCTTACAGCCAGCAAACACTAGGGCAGGATTTGCTCCTCCCCGTGCACAACAGTTATCTGCTCTAAAAACAGCTTTCTGAACTTGATTGACTGGAACCCCTGCTACATGGTGAGCAAGGCTGGTTCAGACATGTTTCAGAAGATGACAAGGAGATGACTATGTTCTTAAGTTACTTTGTAAGAGGATGACAAGTTATATGTGGGAACAAATATAATAGTTGCATTTCTAGGAAAAACAACAGTAAAGGCAGAGATAATTTTTTTCTGTCACAAAGAAAATAAGCCAATAGTTTTTTTTTAAAGCTCTTCTTTTTGGTAGACAAGCCCCAAGCCCAGAACGCAGTAAGTAGCTCTGCAAGAGACACCTTCCATCAGTCTAAGAGTAGGGACAGCGCTCTGTTCACATCCTCCTTCCCTCCCATTCCCCCCTCAATTCTTGACTCCAACTCTCAAGTGGAGCAGGACAATCCAGATCAGCTTACTGTTCTAGGTCCATTTTCAGAGCAGCTTTTACCCACTGGAGACCACTATGCAGCTTAAACATATCATCTGTTTGTACGGCTCTTTGTCCTGTCTTTTCTACTTCTCTGTTCAAGTATCTCTTTTCCCAGTGTCAATCCACCATATTTAACCATTTATGCATCATATTTGGTATGCTAACCAATCTCTAGGACTCCTACCCAAAAACAAGGTCTCCAGCATTTCCTAGAAAAATACTTAAAAAGAAAGTTACAGAACAATAGCAGCCCATCTCCGAAGCAGAGCCTGCTCTACACTAACCACCATTTTCTACGATAAAAATCTGCCTGGCAACTGATTAGAGGAACAATAACAAAGAAACAGAAATAGCACAAGTTGGGGTGGGGGGTTCAGAATTTCCTTACCCCTCAGAATTGTGTATTCACAGAGAGCGAACAGGATCCCAAACTCAAAGCCTGGATTCACCACCTACCTCCAAGTCTGCTAGGTCCACACAGAACAGCCCTTTCGCTCTACGCAGCATGACCGGCTGACTGTTATCCACATTCACAGGAGTTTTAGCTGTTGCCCAATGCCATAAACAGTGCATTGTTATTATTATAATCTCTTCCAGAACTAAAGGATTTTACAAGCAGTCATTATTCTTGTTTTAAATATAGGTTTCCACAGAAAGAAAGATGCCTGACAGCAAGACAGCAATTATATCAGCAAGAGCTTTCAAGGTTCACAATGTCTAGACCAAGTCACTGAGCAAAAATAGTCTTCACTCTGGACTAGAGGAGTCAGCAGATATTCTAAATTAGAGCCGGTGCTCTATTTCTGACAGGAGAGCCTGGGAGCTTCTGTGCTTCCCTGCATGGCAGCTTTATTTGGGAGAGGACTGGGGGGGGGGGGGGGGGAGGGGAAGAACAGCTAAAGAGAGAGAGAAAGACAGCATTGTTTCTCTAACCGCTGAGCTAAAAAACTGCTTGCAATTAGGCTGTTTTTCAAAGGTGTTATGTCAGAGATTAGCACAGTCTTGAAACACTCTCTCCAGCAACACTAGAAATACAAAGGGAATCAGAAACATTTGAAAACGCAAAACAACATGAACTCCGGCCTTTCTCCTGATTTGCCCCTGAGAGCCCTCCACCTGCACGCACCTGCAGCACTGTACCTGCCGTTTCCCTTCAGACCCAGAGGTGGCCAGGGAAGGGCTCTGCTGCAGCTGTTCTCCGAGAGCCTACAGGTACTTGGCAACTTCTCCAACTAGCTTCAGGGCCTAAAAGTCTCAAGAAGAGAGGGCTATGTGCCTAACGTGAATACACTATTACAACATTTGTGGGGTTTTCCTTCTCTCTGTAGCACTTTTTGGAAGCGTTAAGAAGGAAACCCCATATGACTATTTCAGTTTTACAGATGAGCTAGCAGTATCTTAGAGATGGGAAATCATTCCCCAGGGTCTCTCATACACCAGCTGCAGAACCAGGTATGGGACTCAAGTGTCCCTCTTTTCATTGTCTGACCTACTCAGCCACCCCTTTAAAGGCTCCCTAACCACCCCTTTAAAGGCTCCCTAACCACCCCTTTAAAGGCTCCCTAACCACCCCTTTAAAGGCTCCCTAACCACCCCTTTAAAGGCTCCCTAAACACCCCTTTAAAGGCTCCCTAACCACCCCTTTAAAGGCTCCCTAACCACCCCTTTAAAGGCTCCCTAACCACCCCTTTAAAGGCTCCCTAACCACCCCTTTAAAGGCTCCCTAACCACCCCTTTAAATCCCTAACCACGTCTCTCCCCAGTCATGTGACAGGCAGTGTGCATAAAGCTAAGGGAAACCACTATGTATTTTTTAATAACTAACCTATTAAAGTTCCTTCCGTCTGTCAGTGACTTCCATTTTGAAAGAATTCAGCTGAAATGCAGTTCACATGCTGTACGAAATCTAAGCAACAGCAG